CTAAATGCTCACTGCTGCAGCCCAAACCTGTTCCTTTGCTCCATCTTCTGCTGCTCGTATCTGTCACAGAGGGGCCCATCACAGCTGAAGCCCATTATTAGATCACTCCCTGGCTTCTCCTTTAAGGCTAAGTAATGAGAAGGTTTCCCTTCTCTTTTTGTAGGTCGTATTTTTCAACTGTTTAATGAATTTTGTTGTTGAAAATTTGATCGGGGATTTCCTATGTCTGGAAATGCATTAGTCCTTGAACTCTGTAGCCCTGATACTCCTCCCCACTAGCTCTTTAAATACACCAAATAAAATGAGACAAAGAGAATGAAGCAGCTGAAAACAAAACAAAACATCACAAAACTAAAAAATGAAACCACCAGGTCGTTGTCTTTCTGGCTTTTGACTGAGCAAAACATTTATAAAATGAAGCATGCTTCAGAGAGGTTAGCATCTCATTTATTGAAGATTGATCAACAAGAACTTGGTCAGGTTTAGATAAATGCCTATACAACTCACAGTTTAAAATGCAGACTCGTCTCTGCCCGAACCTCATCTGATATAAACACTATCCTAAGTTTGATTTACTATAACTTTGCTGTTTCTTCATGATTTTATCATATTTTTATGCACTGCTAAAGATTACTGAATTTTGCAATTTATGTTAGGGACTCATACTCTTCTATTTCTTCTGTGATTGATTTTGTTCTTTCTTTTCCTTTCATATTTCTGGTCTTGTATTCATTTACAAATGTAGCTGTAGGTAATTTTAACTACTTTATAATATTCCACTGTGTGACTATACCATAGTTTACTCATTTCATTGTTGCCGGACATTAGAGTTGGCTCTAGTTTGAGAGAAGGGTCCTGGAAGCAGGCGTATTTGCCACCTGCTTCCCAGCAGCGCCAGTCGTCATCTGCACCCCTGCATCATGAGGTGGGCCCTCAGGGCTTCTGCCAGGCTCTCAGTTTTGCCTATGAGCACCTAATGGAATCTTGTGGAAAAGATCTGGAAAATGGATACCTAGAGCCCTTATGTAGGAGGTCCCCACGGGTTCTAAACTCTCATGTTAACCACACTCACCCTTGAAGAGTTTGTCAACACTTCATTGTCTTCATTCCTGCTTTTATGTCTGTTATCTCTCCCTCTCCTCTTTGCTAAAGGAAGACTGTATCCCACCTCTACTTTGATGAGCTCCTTATCCTCTGGAATTCAGTTCCTCTGACTGAATGACAATCTGAGACCTCTGATGGGCTTTTAAAAAGTTACAATTCTCGAGATTATCCAGATTTCTCTTATCATTAAGGTGGGGGCAAAATTCTCCAAGGCTGTCTGTGATTTAGGAGGAAGCAGACTGATTTTTCTTCCTCTTCTTGCCACCACCATTCTCTATCCCCTTTCTCTGCCTGATTTTTCTTTGTAATACTTGAAACTATCATTAATATTTATGTAGTGCCCATCTCCCTCACAAGCACATAAATTCCATTAAGGCAGAATATTTGTTTTATCCATTTCTATATCTCTGGCACTTAATAGATGCTCAATAAAAATTGTTGACTAAGCACAGGCAGGAAAACCCAAAGACCAGGACGTTTTCTCCAGTATTTCGCATCTGCCTGTTTTCATGAGAATATACTTCCTCTGATGTCCCTCTCTCCCTTGTTCTGCCATGTTTTTCATATGTCCCATTCCAGCTATATTCGTATTCATCTTTTAATCGAGCCAATCTGTTTGCCTTCAGCATCTCCATATGCCCTGATAACAGAGAAGTGGGGACCCGTCCCTGGGCTGCTGTCTGTCTTCCCCTGATTTGCTGTGTCTTTGCTCTCAGCCCCGCAGCTGGCCTGCAGGTGCTTCTGCACCCCTGCCCGTCTGACTGTTCGTCCTGGCGGGCTGTCATCCCGGGATCTCTGCCCTGCTGCAGAAGGCCCTCCCGGCTCCCACCCTGAGGCCAGTTCCTGTGGTCAGGACTGATGTGTGCCTCACAAAGAGCGAACTCTATTCAGAGCATTGTGGCTCCCATCCTGCACTCCTGTTTGTTTTGCTGTGGCTGTTCTTGGCTCCTGCTGAGGGTTTTAATCATTTTTACTCATTGCTGATTTAGAAGAGACGGCAGTGAGAAGGAAGTTGGAGGGCGTGGAATTGGTCAGTGCTCTGCTTGCCTCAGGGAGCAGCACAGAGGGGTAGATGGGTGGGCGTCCCCCTTCTCTGTTGATTCTAGGCCATGTTATTGCTTGAGGGGCTCCACTCCTGCAAGAGAACCAGTGCATTCTCCTATCTTTTATAAAGTGATCCTTTTTCAAAAAAATCTGGAGTTTACTGTGTCTCAGAGTTGTATGTTTTTGTTTTGTTTGCTTAAATCAGATCCAAATGTGTTACAACTGATGTTCGTTTCTGCCTGACCCTGGCACAAGATGTAGCGACTTTGTTATGTTTTACTGGGTTATCCTTTGTGAGACTGCATTAAGGAATGCTCAACAGACACCACGTTGACTGAGACCTCCTGCACTGCTATTTTCCAGGTGTAGGTTGGAGCTTTTATGATTAGGAAACTTCAAGTTTGTTAAACATGTCACTGAATTTGAAGTCGTTTTTTATCATCACCTAGTTTTGAATCAGTTAATATTAAAATTACTGTCTCTTGATGATCCCCAGTATATTCTTTTCTGTAAGAAAAAAAAAAAAGTAAAACAAACTCTCCTAATCCAAATGGTTTGTAGTCATTCTTCCATGACTATGAGATATGAGTCCTTACCCTATGAGATAACATTTACTCCTCTATCATTCAAAACCACTTCCATCTTTGAACTATTAGTTTAAGTAATAATTCTGGATTGGAGAACAGAGATATTTCAGAAAACAGAAAGAAGTATGGTTGTAAAAACAACCTCAGTTATTCCAAAATCTGAAGGTTAAAACAATAGCTGCCTTGATTTACTGACTCATGTATTATCTGAGAAAAAGTTGATTAAAACAGATTTTGACACTTTTTATCCACTGGAACTTGAACTTCATTGGGAAAATGGTTCTGAGGGGGTAAGCATGTTGACTAATTGGCTTGTTCATCCCACATGGGATTATACTACTTTCTGAACCAGAATTTCCTGCTATTGCAACATGTTTTTTTCTTTATTCTTTTTTTTTTTTTCTCCTTAGAAGCAATCCATTTGGGTTCATTACATGGCCATTTGNATGATACCACTCTAATGGCAAAAAGCAAAGAGGAACTAAAGAGCCTCTTGATGAGGGTGAAAGAGGAGAATGAAAAACTGACCTAAAACTCAGCATTCAAAAAGCTAAGATTATGGCGTCCAGTCCCATCACTTCATGGCAAACAGAAGGGGAAAAATGTGAAAACAGTGACAGATCTTATTTTATTAGGCTCCAAAATCACCACAGACAGTGACTGCAGTCATGAAATTAAAGGTTCTTGCCCCTTGGAAGAAAAGCTATGACAAACCTAGACAGTGTATTAAAAAGCAGAGACATCACTTTGTTGACAAAGGTCCATATGGTCAAAACTATGGTTTTTCCAAAGCTATGTTTTTTATTTTTATTTTTTTGGTGGTTTTTCCACTGAAGCATCAATTCTTCGGTGCTCAGCTTTCTTTACAGTCCAACTCTCACATCCGTACATGACTACTGGAAAAACCATAGCCTTGACTAGACGGATTTGACTAGACATGGTTGACCAGACTAGTCAACCACAGACTTGACTAGTATTTATACTCACACTCAATATAGGAGAGTTCTAGTTATTCCACCTCCTCACTAATGTTTTCTATCTTTTTTATTTTAGCTATTCCAGTGGCTATGTACTGTGATTTAATATATATTTCCTTGTTGATAATGAACCTGAGTGACTTTCATTAGTGATTTGTGTATCTGTCTTTGAGAATTGTCTGTTTAAGTTTTTTTTCCCACTTTTCTATCATTTTACTCTCCTTTTTGTTACTGTTTCATAGGGGTTCTTTATATAATCAGAATATGGGGCTTTGTTGAAAATGTTACATAAATATTTTCTCCTCTGTGGGTTGCCTTTTCACTCTTGTAATGGAATCTTTTGATGAACAAATACTCCTAATATTTTTAAAGTCCAGTTTTTTATTTTTTCATTTTACAGTTTGCACTTTTCTTATCCATTTTAAGAAATCTTTGAATACTCTAAGTTGACAAAGCTGTCCTCTGCTTTCCTCCAACATCTTTATTTAAATTTGTAATTCATCTGACTTGATATTCATATATTGTATAATCCAGAGATCAATACATAATTTCCATGTAGATATCCTGTTAGCCCAGCATCATTTCACTTGGTTTTTAACTTGTTTAAAGTATATCTATGAAATTTAGTTTTACTGAGATATTTTTATATTTTCCTAGAGATAATTATTAATGATTCTCAGAAAATAATTTAAGTCTATGATGGTGTAAAATTTATAATATAATCTATAAATTTATTTAGCATGTAAATTGAGATATTTCTTAAAAGTTATTCTGTTTAATTAGACTCTAGTTTGTAATACCAGCATATTTATTCAACACTAGAGTGATTTATAATGCACAAACACAATAATTAAAAACAAATTAATTGTTCTCACTTTTTCATTTAAATTCAATTCAACACATGTTTATTATTTGTCTGCTAGAATTTGGAACAACTGAGAATATGGTTGAAGTTTTGAGCTCTATTTGCATGTCATTTAGATTTCAAGCCATATAATAAAGTTGTCAAACATTCATCAATAATAAATAATTTTTCTTTAGTATTCAAAATTATATTAATAGAGGTACAAGGTGAGAAGTTTTATTCCTATTAAGATGACCTTATACCCCTTATGTAATGCCTCTATACCAAGTTTTCCATTAGCAATGACACAATTCTTTTAAGAAGTAAAAATAGAAAAGAAAATATAAAGCTTCTTTTCTGTATTTGGAATGCCTGTGAATGCTTCTTCTTTGATGTCATTTCTGCTTGGTTTTTATTTTTTTCTCTTTTTATTATTTGTTCTAGATTGTACTGGTCAGTGGACATCTGGACAGCTGGGACGTCGGGCAGGGTGCCTTGGATGATGGTGGTGGAGCCTTTATATCATGGGAAGCCCTCTCGGTTATTAAAGATCTTGGTAAATATTTAGAGAGTAGTTAACCAATGTGTGAGGTTGTCAGTGGTGATGTTTAACTCAACACACAAAATGCTCAGCAGATTAGTTGCTGTGGAATGTTCAAAGATTCTCCTGAGGTCTGTATGTTTTTTGTCAGTTGATTCCCAGAAAAGAACTAATTTGTCCCCTTAAAGAAAGAAATTTTTATTCAAGTGTCCACCAGACAGCCAAAGTATCAAATATAATCAGCCACTGGGGAAAATGAACAAGCTAATAAAACTGCAGCAAATGCAACCACATCAACTAGAGACTATGTAAGGAAACCATAAACAAGTGGAAAGAAAAATCAGTAGCTCCCCCACTTACTTTTCCTTGTTTAAAGACATCATCAAGCTGCTCGGATAGCTTTGCTGCACTCATCTTTCCATATCCGAAGTCAAGGAGAACAAAGTAGGCCTGGAGGAATGATTCTTTTTGCCACAGTGAGGAATCCAAGATGAAAAACTGGACCTTGCCTGTTAACCTAGACATGGGGGAAGATAGATAGGCATACAAAGCTAGGACTAATTGTGAAAACAGTTTTTTTTGATGACCCTATTTGCAAACAAAAAACATACATTTCCTCTTTGTGTGCTGGTCAAGAGGTGGATTTTGAGTGATGTTAGAAATAAATCAAACAATCTGAAATGAGAATTCCATGTCTGAATCAGACCAGTGGTGGTTTGGAAAATGCTTCATCAGCAGAATGTTTCCTATTGTGACTGTGGAGTTTCAGATGTCATAGAGATCAGAGCACTCCCCTTGGTGAAGGCATTCCATTGCTTACTTAAATACCCATGTGTTTAGATCTAAGCTTTGCCTCTGACTTTTAATGAACCCTTCTAACCCTAAATCAGCTCCTTAAAAGATTATCTTTTTTTTTCTTGGACTGGAGTCCTGTGTTTTTTTTTATTAATTAATTTATTTTAATTGGAGGATAATTATCTTACAATATTGTGATGGTTTTTGCCATACATCAACATGAATCGGCCACAGGTATGCTATTGTTCATCTTAACAATAGACTACTTGAATTGTCTTGGGTTGGGGCAAATCTTTAGTGTATAATTTTGATTTTTGTCTTACTTGTGTTTTAAAAATGGAAAAATGGAAAGGTGACTGTGCAATTTCTTTACTTCTAAATAGGCCAATGTCTCGCAACCCTGGCATTACTGCTGTTTGAGGCCGGATAATTGTTTTTTTTTAATTGAAATATAGTTTATTTACAATGTTGTGCCAATCTCTGGTATACAGCAAAGTGACTCAGTTATACATATATGTGCCTTCTTCTTTTGTATTCTTTTCCAATATGGTTTAATCACAGGTTTAATTATTTCATCGAATACAGTTCTCTGTGCTATACATTAGGACCTTGTTTTTTATGCATTACAAATTCAGTGGTTTGCTCTGCCGTGAGGTCTGTCCTGTGCATTGGGATGTTTAGCTGCATTCCTCCTAGATGCCAGTAACACAACTCCCCCCACACCCAAGTCGTGACAGTGAAAAATGTCTCCAGACGTTGTCAAATGTCCCCCGGTGGGCTGCGGGGGGAAAGGGTGGCATGTAAAATTGCTCCACTAAAATAGGCTAATTAAAGAACTCTAGGACACCTGAATACAAGGTCATTTAAAAAAAAAAAAACTAATTAGTAACTTTGTATTGTATATACTTATACTTTAAACATCATTACCATACTAAGCACCTGCTATGTGAAAGCATCCTGTAAAAGCTGAGCACACTACATACTCTCTGTTCTTAAGACCCTTAGAATATAACTAAAGACATACATATGCACCTACCTTCATAGTTATCAATTATGATATAATATCAAGTCTGCTTTTAGAATTGCGTAATGTTTGAAAGATAAATTGTCCAGCAAATAAAAACAGAAACACTCATTCCTTCAGAGAAGATCTGGGAAACTCTACATGTGAATTCTTTCCTCTTCTTCCTTAAAAAAATATCCCTTTGGCTATCTGCCCTTAATTTCATTCCAGAATGAAGTGGGTTCGAGAGATGAGGCAGGCAACTATCAAATCCTCTCCATAGGCACAGATATTTATTTTGGAAGTTAATTTTAATTCAGTGTGTTCCAACCAGCTTGACTGAAGGCACAATGGTATTGTGAAAAGAGAACTAGATCCATCTCAATTAGATTTTTAGGTCACTCTGTGCCACAAATGACTTTTTTGGCCTGGGGCAGGTCATTTGAACTCTCTGGATTCATTTTTCTTCATCTCTCTTCAACTGTTAGCTTCCAGAGTATTTTACCTGCTCTTGTTGTTGTGCAGTCACTCAGTCATGTCATTCTCGTTGTGACTCCATGGACTGCAGCACGTCAGTCTTTCCTTGTCCTTCACAGTCTCCTGGAGTTTGCTCAGATTTATGTCCATTGAGTCAGTGATGCCACCCAACCACCTCATCCTTTGTCTCTCCTTTCTCCTTCTTCCCTCAATCTTTCCCAGCGTCAGGATCTTTTCCAGTGAATGGACTTTTCCCATCAGGTAGCCAAAGTACTGGAGCTTTAGCATCTGTCCTCACAATGAATATTCAGGGTTGATTTCCAATTGATTGGTTTAATCTTGCTGTCCAAGGGACTCTCAAGAGTCTTTTCCAGCACTACATTTTGAAAGCATCAATTCTTCAGGGCTCAGCCTTCTTTATGTTCCAACTCTTACATCTGTACATGACTACTGGAAATGGTATAGCTTTGACTGTATGGACCTTCATCAGCAAAGTGATGTCTCTGCTTTTTAATATGCTGTCTAGGTTTGTCATAGCTTTTCTTCCAAGGAGCAAGCATCTTTTAAAGTCATGGCCACAATCGCCATCTACAGTGATTTTGGAGCCCAAGACAATAAAGGCTGCAACTGTTTCCATTTTTCCCCCATCTATTTGCCATGAAGTGATGGGACCAGATGCCATGATATTAATTTTTTGAATGTTGAATTTTAAGCCAGCTTTTTCACTCTCCTCTTTCACCTTCATCAAGAGGCTCATCAGTTCCTCTTCACTTTCTGCCATTAGACTGTTATCATCTGCATATCTGAGGTTTTGATATTTCTCCCTGCATTCTTGATTCCTGCTTGTGATTCATCCAGCCCAGCATTTCACATGCTGTATTCTGCATATAAATTAAATAAGCAAGATGACAGTATATAGCCTTGATGTACCCCTTTCCTAATTTTAAATCAGTCCATTATTTCATGGTGGATTCTAACGGTTGCTTCTTGACCTGCATACAGATTCTTCAGGAGGCAGATAAGGTGGTCTGGTATTCTCTTCTGTTTAAGAATTTTGCATAATTTGTTATGAGCCACACAGTCAAAGGCTTTAGCTTAGTCAATGAAGCAGAATTAGATGTTTTTCTGGAATTCTCTTGCTTTTTCTTTGATCCANGGCTGGTGATCTGTTTCACCCTAGATAATATACATGTTTCAATGCTGTTCTCCTGAAACATCCCACCCTCGCCTTCTCCCAGAGTCCACAAGTCTGTTCCATACATCTGAGTCTCTTTTTCTGTTTTGCATATAGGGTTATCGTTACCATCTTTCTAAAGTCCATATATATGTGTTAGTATACTGTAATGGTCTTTATCTTTCTGGCTTACTTTTAAAAGGACTTTCTTATCTCTCCTTGCTATTCTTTGGAACTCTAAATTCCGTTGGATATATCTTTCCCTTTCTCCTTTGCCTTTCGCTTCCCTTCTTTTCTCAGCTATTTGTGAGGCCTCCTCAGACAACCATTTTACCTTCTTGCTTTTCTCTTTCTTTGAAATGATTTTGGTCACTGCCCCTGTACAATGTTATGAACCTCCATCCATAGTTCTTCAGGCACTCCATCAGATCTAATCCTTTGAATCTATTTGTCACTTCCACTGTATAATTATAAGGGATTTGATTTTGGTCATACCTGAATGGCCTAGTGGTTTTCCCTACTTTCTTCAGTTTAAGTCTGAATTTTGCAACAAGGAGCTCATGATCTGAGCCACAGTCAGCTCCAGGTTTTGTTTCTGCTGACTGTATAGAGCTTCTCCATCTTCAGCTGCGAAGAATATAATCAATATGATTTTGGTATTGACCATCTTATAATGTTCATGTGTAGAGTCATCCCTTGTGTAGTTGGAAGAGGGTGTTTGCTACGACAGTGTGTTCTTTTGGCAAAACTCTGTTAGCCTTTGTCCTACTTGACTTTGTACTCTAAGACCAAACTTGCTTGGTACTCCAGATATCTCATGACTTCCTACTTTTGCATTGCAGTCCACTATGATGAAAAGGACATCTTTTTTTTGGTGTTAGTTGTAGAAGGTCTTGTAGGTCTTCATAGAACTGTTCAACTTCAGCTTCTTTGGAATCAGTGGTGGGGGCATAGACTTGGATTACTGTGATGTTGAATAGTTTGCCTTGGAAGTGAACTGAGATCATACTGTTGTTTTTGAGATTGCACCCAGGTACTGCATTTCGGACTCTTCTGTTGAGTATGAGGGCTATTCCATTTCTTCTAAGGGATTCTTGCTCACAGCAGTAGACATAATGGTCATCTGAATTAAATTTGCCCATTCCTATCCATTTTAGTTCACTGATTACTAAAATGTTGATGTTCACTCTTGCCATCTCCTATTAGTGTTTTTTCTAGGCTTTGAATCTTACTTCTTTCATCATGGGACCCTAAATCACTGTTAATTGAGTTGAATTCAGTTGCATGAATAAATGCATGCAATGGTGAATTGAGTTATCTTTCTCCAGCTTTGAAACTACACTGACTTCATTTGCTTTTGAAAGTAGTAGTAAGTCTCCTTCAATTCAGGACTTAACTCTTCTATAGATTTCTGAAAACCTATGTAAACATATGAATACAACTCTAAAGAGTAACATTTCTTTTGAGTAGGTGTTAAGAGACTGCATGCTATACTGTTAAAACAGCACTATGAGGCCAGACTGCCTGGGTTCAAATCCCACCTCAGCAACTCACGAACCTGTGGCC